CCCCTGCCGCCATCACCACCGTCGGCGACAACGGCGGCACCGGCACCGGCGGCAGCGGCGGCGGCGGCGGCGACGCCGTCGTGCTCGATCGCCTGCCCCGTTCCCCGCACCTCCGCGGCGGCGGTCGCCTCTCGGAGCGGCAGCAGCAGCGGCAGCGGCCTGCTGCCGCTGTCGCCGACCAACGGGGGGGTGCGCACCCCGTCCCCGACGAGGCCGGTTTCCCCGGGAATTGGCGGGGGCCCCACCACCGCTGTGGGTAGCAGCAGCCCCCTGTGCTCTTCGTCTTCTCCCGGCGTCACCAGCGGTGGCGGTGGTGGCAAAGCCTCTCCTGCTGGTGGTGGCGCGGGGACAGCGACGGGGGCGGGGGGGAGGGCGGCGGGGGAGGCGCAGATGGACTACAAGACGTTCCTGGACCTGGTGCTGGCCATGGACAACAAGCGGACCCGCCAGGTACGTATATGAGTAGTGGAAGAAAATTATAGTTTGTTTTTTGTTATTGCCTTGTATTTTGGTCGAGAGATAGACACACCACGTGGGAGAAATGGGGGAATTGGAGCAGCAACCAACAACTACAAAAAATATCGACGGCATGCATCCCGTTTACCTTTTTGGTCAGTATGTTTGCGGGCACGACAGGAATGCTCTGTTGTTGCCCGTAGACGGGTGCCGTTGCTTTCCTCCCCACTCTCTCCCCTCGGGTGTCTTATACATGTAGAGCTTGTCGGCACGGCGGACGGGGGTGTAGGGGGGTACCTAGTCCCACCGTGTGTGCGTCACCCCCGTAGCCGCGCTATCATTGGCTTGTTCCAGGGGAGTACACTTACCGTGGAAGGTCTCTCGATCTCTCGTTCGGGGGGGTGGGGGCGGTAAATGACCCTACCAACGCCGCTACCCTAACGATGCCATGTTGTAATTCGAAGGATTTATGGCACTCCCTTGTTTTTTGGAAACCTTACTCCTATTATCCTGTAGGGAGCGTGGTTCGAAACGCAACCGTTGAGATTCTACATATATTACACTCGTAGGGGTAAATCAAGTTCTTCGCAGCGTAGCCCGTGCGACGCGGTGTCCGTCGCGTGGTCGTGCAACTCTAAATTGCTGCTTCCTTTTCTTGCGGGGTGTCGTACGGGGGCACCGCAAAACGGCAGGCGATGCAGTACTTTTGGAGAGTTCTGGACGTGCAAGGCAAGGGGCGCCTCACAATTTCGACCATCCACCTCTTCTTCCGAGACATCGCGCACGCGCTCGAGGAGGGTGGCTTCGAGACTCCCACTACCGATGACGTCAAGGTACATGTTTTCTATTTTCCTGGCCCCCCCTTTTTTTTTCTTGTTCACCGTCTTTTTTTTTTTTTTCTTGTTCACCGTCTTTTTTTTTTTTTTCATCCTTGGAGAATCAACCCGTGGTCTAACTAACGTAGGCAGGTCCAACAAGTTGTGTAAAGCCGCTCCCATCCTGCTATTAATAGTTTTAACGTGCACACCCATCCCTAACTTCCGCCCAGTGGGCAAAACTTCGACTAGTTTCCCGTCCATTCCCCACGCCTTACCTACCCCATCTCACTGCTGTTTCTCGACCCTTCCCGTATGCGTGTCCCCTTCCCTCTTGCGCCCTCCATGGTCAACAAAAACTTTGACGACGATTATGGCGACGCCGTGGTGCACAACAACAACCGCCCCTCGATCAATCGACGCGCGGGAGAGTAGGACGAGATCTTCGACATGGTCAAGCCGGCGGACCCCACCTTCATCACCCTCGCCGACCTCCTGGCGAGCGGCGCCGGTCACACGGTGGTGAGCATGCTCGTCGACACCAACGGGTTCTGGGCCTACGACAACCGAGAGAGCCTCGCCACGTGATGGCGAAAAGAGCGAGCGAGGAAGCGCTAGCGAGTGAGGAAGCGCTGACCGAGCCTCATGTTGCTGTTTGATCAGATTTTCGCACATGGCATCGCCCCCCCCCTGTTGTGTGCCTGCTGGGTGTTTGAGTTTGCATCGACCGCTCTATTTCGCCGGCTGACCAATGAAAAGACGTTGCGTCTTGTAGTAGCGGAATAAGAATCGCCAACACTTTCTAGTCAAATATATATATATGTGTGTGTCTCTTCAGCATCGGCCGCGCTAGCCGGCTGACAAAGGAAAGTACAACAGCAGTCTTGTAGCGGGATAAAACACACGAACATTTTCGAGTGAAAGGGTTGCTAACGACAGGGGGGGGGGGGCGCAAAGGTTGGACGCCAGAGTCCTTATTCTCAAGTACCATTACTCTCAGACAACACAGTGTGTGTGCCTGTATTATTAGCATCGGCCGCGCTAGCCGGCTGACCATCGAACAGATGTAAGCCTCAGTGCGGTTGAAAAACAGCGCGTCTCAGACCATGTGTGTGTTTTCATGTGTGTGATTTTTTTTTCCTTCCTTTGATCGGCGTCGGCTGTGTTAACCGACGGACCCATGAAAAAGGCGTCAGCCTTAATGTGCGAAACGCGAAACAATCACGAGTGTGTGATGATGTGTTACGAAATGATTACGTCGCGTGATGGCTTAGGCTTAAGCGGCTAAAGTGTGTGTTCGCGCCTTCCCTCTAGAAGCGCGGCTGCCAGTTATTATCCGGTTGTACATACGGGTAGCCCCTTGTATGTCGGGTGGAGGCGTTTTTGGCCTGCTGTGTTACCGCCTCTTCTTTGTGTGTTTTTCGGTGGCGGGGGGGCCCCGTGACTGCTGTTATTCTCGTGGGTGGGTGTGGCCCCTCGGCGGGCGGCTTCGTCCGCGTTGTTGGCACCGGTATATGCTCAGCTCGATGATTGTAAGGACGCCACGGGGTCCGATGGACGGGGTCTAACTTGTCTACCGAGTTTTGTTGGTTCCCAGGACGGGGCAAGTCGGAGTGCGATAAGAAGAGCGCGAGGTTGTTGGGTAACAGGGGAGGAGGAGGTTGAAAAGCTGTTGTGCTTTGTTTAGCTTGTAACACGAAGCGGGTTCTGCCTGCTGTATGTGGAGTTTTGGAGGAGGCGTGATGGATCAGATCGCGTCGTCGGTTAAGAGGCAGGTGATGACCTTCAGCGATCTGCCGCCGTACACCCCCCCCTCCCCCCCTCGGTGTTTGCCATCGGGATTGGGTTTTCGTCGCTTGGCAACGACGTTGTAAAACAAGCCAATTCACTTCGTGAACTCCGCAACCAGGTTGCCTGTTTTTTTTTTACCTCTGTTTGTTTTTTGCGGTAACCATAATGGTGGTCGAGTAGATCATGTTGTGCGGGGTCGAGAACCCTCACTCCGCGCAAGGGGGATGATCGCACCACGTTGTGTTAAAATGGTCAAGCATCCTCGAGGCAGTTACACAGTGCTTACAACTGTCTCTGGAAGTGAAAGCACCAGAAAATAAATTCAGTCATACGCAGCTGTCATCCGTACGCAAGGAAGTAAGCGCAAGATGCCGAACACCCTTAGCAGGATGCAGCTCACCCTTCATGCGACTCGCCAAATACCTCACAGCGCTTCGCGCTTGGTGATGTGAGAGCCTGGTCCGGTGAGAACCCGGCGTGCTCCGTCCCGGGTTTGTAGGGATGCGAGGTCAATGGTCTAACGACTACGGCATGCACGACTATGAGTACCCCCCCCCCCCCCCCCTTTTTACGTACCAAGCCTGGGGCTTTTTCAACGTGTTTTGGGAGCAACCTTGAGATGGACCGGGATCATCGTCTCGAAAACGCGAGTGTTCTCCCTCCCACCGTCATCATCCACGGTGGCGTAGTGTGTTGCAATGTTCTGACTGCCATGAGTTTCTCAAGGGTGGTTGCCTGACACTAAGAGCGTTCCGGTCTGCCTCTGTTCAGTGCCTTTCTAACATGCGTACCGGTCTACGTGACGCAGTGTACAACATGCATGATGATCGGCCTTTCAACACGCACACACCTCCTAATGCTAACAACACGGAAGGTTTTTTCCTGGTTGCGCCAAAGTTCTGACCGGGGCCTCGAAACATACGGCCGGCTATCTCACGTGTTCGTGCCCCCCCCAAACAGGCATCGCGGAAACGTTGTGTAAAAAAAAACAATCTCATCTGTGTCCCATGTTCTTACAACTTACAACCCATTTTGTGGTGGCGGAAAACCACCACCCAAAAACCCCCCCAGGCACAAAAAGCGAGAAACCCCCAGGGGGAACATCACCGACATGTGT